AAGCTTTAGTCATATTGGTATCATTTATTAGTGTTTTTGACATTGTAGTTTAGTGTTGTGATCGACTAACATGTATGTATAATGAAATACAAACAATAACTAAAGCTATTCCAATAAAAATATTTACCATCAAAATGATGTAATAGGCTGGATAATCTCCTATAAAACTTGCTTTCGTACTATTCTTGACTCTTTTCACGAAGCTGAGCGCGATAGAATAATTCATCTGATCAGAGCGAGTCTGGACAACGTTAGCCTGCGTGCAGCTAATCAAAAAATGTTGTCAATGTGTGTCTGCGAATCAGCGACGACGATCGTGTTCCGTGTACCGATATGTATGTACTTCACGCTGATTGGATGTTTAGTTTTGAATTCTAATATTAAGTACAGCGCTGATTGGCTACAGCAAAATTGARCAGGTCAACGCAAGGYTTGYCTTGCYGCTTCGATTTTTTCGGCTTTTCTCGTTCTGCRCACTGTGTTGATTTAATTAAAAATCGAYATTACATACTCTGTTGTCGAAATGTCGCCAAACATTTCAGTCGAAGGTAAAGGAAGTTTTAAAGTTAGATCGAAAAGCTCAATAGACTCCATTTCGACCGCAAGCAAGCTTTCCTCGACCGCCATATCTTTTTAAAGCCAGACAGGCGCCAATGTACTCAATGGACAAGAAACGCATAGGGGCGATTCCACGTTGTGGACATTACATTCAGAAGCTAATTCTGAATCTTTAACCTCCTCTAAATTCTTTGCAGTTCTCCCGCAAGTTCTTTTCTAATCGGGGAAAGTGCTATTTCAACTAATGCTCCATCGTATATTTGAAGTCAAGTTGAAACGCATACATCCAGTCAAGACTGAGGCATAGAGCTAGATTTATTAGTTTTCTGGTTCCTTCTGAAGTATTAGCGCGAAAGGAAAAGAGAAGATATGAAAAGGGAAGATATGAAAACCATCGAGTCCATTTTTTCAAAACTAAACAACTCCAAACATTTTTCACTTATGTTTAATTATTGACCTAAAGATAAATATTTTAGATAGAAGAAATATCTTAAAAGTTCTGACATTTTATTTCTTTCAAAGAAAGTTATTTAAGTTAAATATATAGGCCGCCTCTAATTTGGCTATCTTTTAAAATCAAATACTCCTCTAATAGAGGAGACTATCCCGATGCACCGATGCACGCTATCGTAGTTCCACTATTACGTGGTACMTAATTATGTATCTGTATATATGTAGAGATGCATGTCCGTTGCGCCTTTCACTGAAATTACTTGGTATTATTGGGCTCCGTAATCCCAACTGAKTAATGATTGYCTCATAGCTTGRTGCCTCTTTTTTCATCGATCGCGGAAAGGAAATTTGCCCTTAATTGCATTGTAAACCTTTCCAGCTGTTTTCCTATTAATCGATTCYGTGAATTTCACTTTTTCGGGTTTTGAATAAATGGGATTTTTCATCTAGTAAAGTTTGTTGAAAAATTCGATTTRAAATTTAGAAAAAATTTTAGGGATATTWGGAACCATATCAAATTGGCAAGAAGGGTTTTGTAGGTCAAGGCAACAGTTCAAATAGCCATCTTCTTTTCGGTACAATTGCTGAAAGTGATTATCGACTAAATTAAACTTACCCCATAATATCAATCAACTCGACTTTTCAACATACAGAGTCTGTTTCCACTGTATAGTATAAACCTTATGAATAAAATTACCATTTGAACAGCTGGAGAAACTTGGAAAAAAGAATTATAAGGCTGATAGGACAGAAACAACATRATGCCCTTTTAAAGTTGAGCAATCATGCATTTCGACGGGATTAAATTCTTTTATACGTACGGCCAAATAGAAAGCTGCAAGGGAGCATGACTGTGCAACCATGACTGTGCAACGGTACGGCACGGTCACGGAAACTCACCTGCTCCCAGTGATTACACTGTCACTTTTATGTTCAACGAGTTGATATAACTCCAAAAAAAGGAGTTAAAAAAGGTACCGGGTAGCTCCTTTTCTGGAGTAAATTTAACTCAACCTGGATTTAACTGCACCTGGAGGAGTAATTTTTACTCCAGCAGGTAGAGTAACTTTAACTTCTTAAAAATAATTGTGTTTAAGTATCCTTCTTTTTCATCGCCTTTCTCCTATCCTCCTCCTCTTCCTCCTCTTCTTCCTCTTCGTCCTTTTTCTCCTCTTCGTCCTCTGCCTCCTCCTCCTCCTTCTTCTCCTCTTCCTTCTCCTCTTCTTCTTCTTCTTCGCATCAAGTTTTTTTAATGGTTCCCGTATTGATCATTACATATAACTACTCATCACCCAAAAAACTTTTAAGCAATCAGAAAGTCAAATTTCCCACATACCAAGATCACTTGACTCGTTTATCACAACGCCTCAATCATTCTCTCGACAACTGGAAAAATGTAAATTGTAAATGTAAAATGTAAATTTGATGAAAAAACTATGTCAATATGATGTAAGTAATATTTCCATCATTTTGGACACTTTCAGACCATTTCCATCAAATTTACACGCTTTTTTTTACATACATTGTAAATTTGATTTACATCATATTTCCATTTAAATTTGCAACCTTCCAGGAGAGCGATTTTCTCCAGTGGATGCCAAGGTAAAAAAAGTTGCCGATGATTTTTAAACTTGGCCTTTTGAAATAAAAACGTTCAGTGTCGACGAAAGTTGGATAGTACAATTAACTCTACAAGCGTTGCTATTCATATTGTTTTGAATTGGCAAGGGAAAAATTAA